GCGTGTGTGCGTGTGAGTGTGTGTGTGTCTGTGTGTGTGTGTCTGTGTTTGTGTGTGTGTGTGTGTGAGAGAGAGAGAGAGAGACCTGCAACATGCAACATGTCAGTGGCGGGGAGCAAGAGGGCAGGCGCTGACCTCCAACAAAACGAAGAAGTAATTTTATCGGAATACAAGAGTTTTTTCTTTTCGAAATCCAAATAGAAAGGGTACATGTTGTATTCGAATACAACCTGTACATTTGCTATTCGAGGAAACTGTGGTATTCGAGAAAAGTGCACCCGCACCGTTTGCATCGGAAAAACTAAAAAACCAAGAAGGTCAAAGAAATTCCTACGTGTAAAGTTGCAAGGTTCATCGAAATGAAGAACCCTAAAAAAATACTGCAGCACGAGGCTCGGATATTCACGTCGACATCTAAGCGTGCAGTTGATAGACGCGTCCACTGCAATCCTCTACCTCATCAAAACAACACCACAGCTCAAGCCAGCCGACTGCTAGACTAAGTGGGAATAAATTTGCACTTTTGTTTATGGCCTTGCGAATAAAAAACGTTGCGTATTTTCAAAACAGGGATATTATTATCAGCCTTGGATTATGTCCACCGCCATCCTCAGCCTGATGTTCAGAATGTCGCTTTGGCCTATCGGAAATGGAGGTGAATGACCTCGTGCCAGGAAGGAAGCGACGGCGAGCATGAAAACACCGCAGCTCGATCCGTCCGACTGTTGAGGGACACCATGAACAACCACCTATGGCTCCGACAAATCCAGTTTCGTGTGTCGACCAAATTGACGAACTACTGCGTCACAGAGGTATTTCGTGAAGTTCGCAAGCACACCGGAAGAAAAACCGTCATCGTCTTGCAGGAGGGAGTCGTAGTACTCCAGCCCTCCTTCGCGAACGCATAATAGGGTCCAGTCACCAGTGAGCTCGATCTTTATGAACAGGAATGATTAACATATCGTACGTAAAAGTTTTGACATCTTTCATCCATCTCGCAACCCTATCATGTCGACATCCCTCATCGACGAGCTTCGTATAGAAAAAAGGACTGAAAATATAAACAGAGGGACACCCCGGCAACGTAGTATTGCCAACGAAGGCCAAGTATGACTCCACCACCTCTTTGCAAAGCCACCCCCCCTGAACAAGAGTCTGAAGATTTTTTCTGCTCAACACAATAGAACTGGTCTCTGTGCGAATTAAGGAAACCACCTCGTGGCCGTTGCTGAAATCCCCACAGACCTCGTGCAACATTCTCAAGTCTGCACCGCTAAGCTCCTGAGTAGGCAACGACACGCGAAAAGATGGTGTAGCCGCAACTGCACAAACACCCAAGAACAAGTGTGAGGAACCGCTAAAACCACCGGGGCGAACTGGTCAAGAACTGTGTGCCGTTTTTCTAAAAAAATTATAACCCCGACTGCTGAATGTATCTTTGGCGATGTACTTAGGATACGGGTTTTTGATGGTACCCCGTCTAGCGTCGTCATTAGACCCATCACACAAAGCAGTAATGCTTTCGATAGACGCAGCCACATGTTTTCGCAAAGCTTCCTCCTTATCTATTCCACAAGCCTTCAGAACCCTGACAACTCTCCCGGAAAGGCGAGGCATTTGGACCCTTTTAAACAACCCTACAGTTAACGAGGACTTCTTCGGTGAAACGACCAATGACCTCCCTGAAAAAAAGATTTTTCGCGCAAGATTTTGTACAACATAGAAAACAACCCACAACCTACAAGCTTTTATTTCAGAAGTGGTGGATGAGCCCGTCAATTCAATGTGGATGACCACAGAGCTGAACATGGACAGATGCGCGAGTGCTACTGTTCACAAATCTTACCGTGGTCGGGAGTCCGCTGAGGGCAACCTGCCTCCTGTCGCGCCACTGTGCTGACATCCGTGGAGGATTCGATGTTCTGCATCTCGACCACCGCTGAGTTGCTAACCAGCTCGATGGCAGCTGAGTCGCTAACCAACTCCGTGGCTTCATGAAGCACCATTTCCCGACCGGAACTAAGGGCAGATGCTCAATCACCTTGCTCGTCACCGCAGATGGTGGACTGAGAATTATGATCTGTTTGCTTTGAACCCATCTGACGAGCCGACACCTCACTGGCATGAAGCCCAGCCGACACCTCACCAGCATAAAGTTGACCTTCCCCTACGGTTTCTTCGCCTGCCTCATTGTCATGAAGCCGAGCCGACACGTCACCACCAAAAAGCTTAGCTTCCCCCACGGGTTCTTTGCCTTCCTGATCGTCATGAAGCCGAGTTTCCAGGACGGGTTCTTCTTCGCCCTCCTCATCGCCACGAAGATGAGCTTCCCCAAACGTCCATGCACATCCTTCCCGCCCACGCTCTTTGCCTTCCACAAACGTCCCATGACCTCCCTTAACGTCACCGTCTTGCGTTGTAAGTGGCGACCCGCTGTGCAAAATCAAATCGGTGTCCCCGATGTTGATGGCATTTCCCGACGAGCCTTGGAGAAGCTATTCATCCTGCTGCACAGCATGCGTCTCCTCCAAAGTGTCACCTTCGCACTCGCTAGCCTCTGTCTCCAACACTCCTACAGCGGGCCCCTGAACAGATGCCGCCGCACGCTGTAAACGTTCACCCTCTTCGAAGAGGTGCAAGAGCAAGGTGTCGTCTTGAACAGGACAATCGTGCTGTGTACTGCGGCGAGGACTGTCCTCAACATTATGAAACAAAGTCCTCACAGACAATTGCGAATCTACTCGCACTTCATAAGACCCCAGGGCAGCCTCGTCTCGCGTGTTGGAATCTCGACTCCCTTCACCGTGGTTTTCACCTCCGCCCGACCCGACATCCCGCTGCACAGCATGCGCTTCTTGTGAGAGGTACTCTTCCCCCAAAGCTGCTGCACTCTTGCTCTCAACATCGATGGACGCGCCCTCCGAAGCATGACACTGATGCTCGCTAGCATTGGTTTCAAACGCTCCTGCATCGAGCCCCTCCCGCACTTCGTTAGGCGGCCAATGTTGAGTTTCCTCTTCCCGCTGCACAGCATGCGCTTCCTGTGAGAGCTCCCCTTCCCCCGGAAGTGGTGTACTCTTGCTCTCCAAGTCGTCGGACGCACCCTCCGAAGGAGGACGTAGATGCCCGCTAGCCCCGGTCTTAAACACTCCTGCGTCGAGATCATCCAGCACTCTGCTAGGCGGCCAGTGTTGAGTCTCCTCTTCCCGGTTCACAGCATGTGCGCCCTGTGACAGCTCCTCTTCCCCCGGATCCGCTGCTCTCTTGCTCTGAAAATCGATGGATGCACCCTCCGAGCATAACGTTCATACTCGCTAGGCCTGGTCTCCAACACCTTTGCAGTGGGCCCCTCCAGCACTTTGCGCTCGCCGACGTCGTGAAACAAAGTCCTCGCAGACAAGTGCGAATGTACTCGCACTTGATAAGACCTCAGGGCTGCCTCATCTCGCATGTCCGAGTCTCGACTCCCTTCGCAGCGGCTTTCAGTTCTGCTAGACTCATGACTCCCGAACGCTCTACGCTTTCCGCTCGGCCCCTTTCCGCCCGACCCCTTTCCGCCCGACCCCTTTCCGCCCGACCCCTTTCCGCCCGACCCTTTTTCACCGGACCGTTTTCCGCCGAAGCCCTTTGGTTCCTACGACGTTTCGCCTGGCCCCTTCCCCTTTGCTTCATCACCACCAGATCCCGAGCCCTCTCCTCCGTCACCTCCTCCACCAGGTCCTGCGCCGTCTCCTCCATCACCTCGCCGACCACCTCCCGGATGCTGACCACCCGACGGAGGTTGCGGCATGCGCCAGTGAATGCCACGAGACAGTGCCGTCTTGAGTGCGTAGAAAGGCGCTCGAAACTCCGACATTTTTTTGGCGTACAACTCATCTAGCTTTTGGCCTGCATACGCATTGACGTCCGGCAGACTCTTGTTGGGGTTCATAACCCTCAAATGCTCCACCAGAGCTTTTCTCGCCTTTTTTTCAAATGGACCCGCTCCCAATCTGTTCATGCCACTCCACTTGCCATCAGCTTGCCTCATTGCCATGACCCACTTTCCTGTCTTTACAGCGGGTTGGAATTTCCTGGGGTGCCAGACGACGTTGTGGCCCCAGACATCCTCTGGCGGGAACCAGTGATGCTTCCCGTAGAAGAAGAGCATGTCATTCTCCTGGGTATCATGGTCCCTAGGGAGCTTGTCACCAAGTACGTAATCATAGTCTCTCTCTTCTTCCCCGTCATCAGAAGATTGGTTCTTGACTGTTTCACACTCAAACACACGCTTCAAACCGGCAGGGGACGTGCTATATCTTCGGGGAACACCTTCCCCTTCATCATCAACCTGTGCAACCACCCGAGGAAGTGGCATGGATTCGAAATCGAAGGTTTCGGAGTCGCTCATCTCCTCCATGTCCTCAGCGTCGAAAGGGTCCTCCTCGTCGAACTGCGCCTTGCAGTTTTCGAGGGTCAGCGGTTCGGTCATCACGCTCTAGCCTTTTCAGGAAATTTGAGACAGATTCCCTGGGTGCATCGTGGTAACCATTCAGCACACCGAACACGAGGTTCCTCCGTCGGTTGTATTCCAGGTCAGTCTGAGCAGGCGGTCCTGGCAGGAAAAGGAACTCCCAAACCTCCGTCCTTTTCTTCTCCGACAATTTCCAATACATATCACGTTTGGGATCCCAGTTTCGTTCGTCGGTGGTCTGGACAAAAGAGCAATGGCGGCGAGGGTCCCGTACGCGTGTCTTCACGAACTTGCAAAGGTAATCAATCATCTTCGCCTCGTCCTCTAACGCAACGACGTTCCGACCACTGCGGAGGAGCTTCCACACGACAGACGAAAAAGTTCTCCCGCAGTGGGTTGCGCTCCCTGTCCCCCCGTAAGCAGCTCCTCGAACACTTGTCACACCGTCGTCCTCCCACTGGCTACGAGGGAACTTGTCCTCGTCTGCCACGTCGAAACAGGCCACAGCCTGTCCTGACGGGTCAGATGAGCAGGCAACTTTCGAGCGGGCTGCCGTCGTGGGTTTGGCCGGACTTGGAGCATTGGCACGGGGAGGCTTTGATGGACTATTGGCCGGGAAGACTGCGACCGTGTTGTCTTCCTGGTTGTCGCCATTGAAAACCATATACAAACGATCATACTCCTCGACCAGCATATTGCCTTCCCGAGCATTGGACTTCTTTTGTGCATGGCGCACCCACTTCCCTGTCCTGACGTGATGAACGCTAAGCTTGGGCATGCCTTTCAAGAAACTGAGCTCCCAACGAGAGGGGAAGAAGACGACAAGTGCCCAATGCCTTGGCGATAGGGTTTGGAGAACGCCTTGCAAGGAGGCGAAATTGTCTTCTTGCCAATTTGAGAGGAGTGTGGGATCACACAAATCGAGGACGTACAAGTTGCACACGTAATGTCGCACAATCTCGCGGATCTCACTAAGACGAGTGTGAGCCAGGGAAGTTGGACAATTGAAAGGAATAAGGCTGGTCACCCGGTTGATCTTGTGACATTTGATGTGTCTCACATTCCCGTTGACCCTGATCGTGTCTTGTACCTCTTCCTCCGTTCGCAAGATGGAGCGGATGGACTTCTCGAAAGATTTAGGGAACCTCTCATCATCATACATTTTCTTCGTTTCGTCGAGGGACTCCCAGTACGGAGGACAACATTTGCAAGTGTTCACGTACTCCACCGCGCCTTGGAAATGCTTCCGCAGCTCGGCCAACACCTGATTCGTGAGGCCCCGCGGCGCGAACTCCGCCAAAAGATGTTCCTCGGTCCGAAAAAACTGGCTCCCATACCGCCAAACCTCTGAGTCCTCCTCGTATTCGAGGAACAAGATGTAGTGAAATATGCGGAGCATCACGCGGTCCACTTTCCTCGTCGCGACCATGTCTTTAATTTCAGGCTTATGCTGACGTTTTAGATACCCGCCCGCCGATTGCACGAACACTCCCCTCAGCGGGAGAATATCGTCGAGGATCGACAGTTTTTCGGCATCCGTCATGTCAGCGAGAGACTACCAACAGAACATATCTGGCTCTTTCACGACGACGAAAAATTTGTCGTCCAATTGCGTTTTCTTTTTGGTCGGAGGCGGCGGGACCCAGACCAGCCACCCCATCTTCGTTTTAGCAGCCGCCCCTTTCGCGCCTATTTCTGGAATCGCTTGAAGACCCGGAGATTTGTCTGGCATGTATTTGCCCGACTTCGACAAGGGCGTCTTCCCGTCTCTGCCCAACAAAATTCCCTCGGCCCATTTGTCGTAGAACTCCATGCCTTTGCGGAAAACCTCATCACCGGCCGTCACGAGCAGCATCCATTGCCTCAATGCATTGCCAATGGGAGTGACGTGGTCCTTGTCGGCGAGCGTTGTCGCTTTAGGTGCCATCATCCAGTGAGCGTCGTTCAGACTCTTTCCCAAAAGCAGCTTTTGGAAGTCGAAAAATGCTTGTTTTTCAGTCTCCTTACCAGAAGGGTTCCCTTGAATGGCCACCGGCCTTCCTTGATTCTCCCATGCCTCCCGCATGTCCTCGAAAGCGGCCTTCTGCATACACTGCTTAGACATCTTGTGTTTTGTGTTCTCCGTGAGACTGACCTGTAAATAACCCCCCAAACTCTTTGTCGGAGAACCGTACGACTCTCGCCGGCCACGAGTGCATCTTCCACAATTCGAATATTGGCTCATCGGCCAACTCCTTCACAGCAGCCACGATGTGTTGTCCATTGACGGGCTAATAGAAGTCCTTGTCCTCTGGCTTGAAGACATCCTTGTGAATCCTCTCAGCGCTCTCCGGCTTATGCGTCACCGATTTATAGATGGGTGCCATAACCAAAGGGTTTTTTGTCCAGATCTTCCCTTTTCCTCGTGGAACTGCCTTAGCATCGCACCCTTGATGTTCTCCACACCATCGCGAGTGAGACTGCGGTGATTGTAATATCTTTTCCACGGTGGGATGTCGCAGACCTTCCTTGGGTCGATGAGCAGTTGAATGGGGAGCTCATTCTCCACGATCTCACCGTCATCGTTCCGCTCGTATTCGAGCCAAAACGCTGCCACTTCATCGTACTGCCTACCGACCGCCCTTTTGCCACCACTCGTCCCCTCAGCAGTCTTCCTCCTCATAGGTTTCTTCTGGCCATCGCCTTCTTCAGCTGCCAGTTTCCTTTTGGATTTCTCTGAAGGTTCTCTCGAGGCGACAATACCTAGACGAACCGAATCTCCTTCACCCATAGCTTGTCCTTCGCAGATGATCAAACCGCCAGGCCTCTTCGCTTTCTTACTTGTTGTTGCACCCTCTTGCTTCAACTGCCTCTTTTTGACTCCTTGTTCTTGTCCGCCACGCATCCCTGGCGTCCTCTTTCCCGAGGCACGTTCTTCGACGTCACCTTCATCCCCGTCAATCATCGGTTGCAAGTGTCCTTTCATCCTCTTCATGCGCTGGGTTTGTTCCGCCACCTCTTCTCGCACCGTCTTTTGTGTCGCTCGCGCATCTTCTCCGAAGAAGTCAGCTCCCGCCAGAGCTGTCGCGCGGGAGCTGTCGCGCACAGCGCCCATCCCTTCAACCTCATTCCCTCCAACCTCTTGCCCTAAACTGCCGGATTCTCTTCTCGCCTCATCTCGAAGCGAATATGTCTCACCCTGGCAGACAAACTTGAGGATTTTCGGAGTACCGACCCGGTGAGTCCCTGCATCTGGAGAATGCAAGCCAGACGTGTTCCCAGGAGCATCCGGGCCTACCTGCGTCTGAATGCTGCTCGTGTGCCCCTTGCCCTGACCCTCAGTGTCGTGAATCACACTCTCGTGCCCCACTGTCGTCACAGGGGTTTCTTGAGCCAAGCTGGACGAACCTTCATGGGTTGGCAGAAGCCGGAAAACATATTCTTGCCGAAGAATCGGACGCTCTTTCGGCACGTTCAGCGCAAGATCGCGATATTCCATTGGCAGTGGAAGACACCTCCTTTTGCCATCGTAAAACCCTTTGAAGTGACGACAAAGTAGCATGTTCGAACCGTACCCCGCGAAACTCTTGATCGACACTATCGCACACTTAACACCTTTGTAAGGCAGTCTGCAGTGTTCGTAGAAGATGTTAGTGTGGATTTTCAGCAAGCCTCCAGACTGTTTGCTGAACGAAGCGATGGTACCGAGAGGATGAATGTCAGCTGCTCCCTCAACTTCTGGAAAGCAAGCGGGTCGCATGAAAATAACTGGCCCAACAAGGCTCCCCTCAACAACGTAGTCCAAAAGCCATTGCGCATCCCTCGTATGGAAATACTGAGGAGTGGATTGTTGAAGAGGTCGTACCTCCCCAGGGGCAACGACCCAACGCTTGTCGATGTGTTTTTCGCGGATGCCATTTTACTCCCAACTTGAGACCAATACGCCCGAGCCTTGAGTAAACCGGTTGACCCGGAGAAAGCCACAAGGTTTTCCTAAGAGTACAACTGCAAAGTGCAAACTAACTCGGAGTTGTGGGAACGAAGACAACATTACTGTGGCGGAGTGTGTTGGGAGGAAAGATAACAACTCATTTTGGACAGAGTGCGAAACAACTCACAATCCTGTAGATGAAGAAAGAGGCGGTTTATCTTGGTGAAAATGCGAACTAACTCGGAGTTGTGGAAATGAAGACCTCTACAACACGTACAACATGGTCACCGACAAGTGCGAACTAACTCACAATTATGGAGAAAAGACAACATTTCCAACTCGCAATTCCGAAAACAAGGAACTCGTGTGCCAGAAAGACGGGGCTTATCTTGAAGAAAGTGCGAACTAACTCTAAGTTGTCGAAATGAAGACCTGAAACACGTACAGCACGCATGTCGAAAAAGTGCGAACTAACTCAGAGTTTTGGATACGAATGGCAACAACTCGCAGTTCTGGAAATGAAGAGCCTACTTACAGGAAAGAGCCTACTTTCAAGAAAGAGGAGTCTTGTCTTCTGGAAATGAAGAGCCTGTTTTAAGGAAAGAGGCGTCTAATCCGGAATTTTAGAAACAAAGACATAAAACATATCCCACTAGGTGTCGACAAAGTGCGAACTAACTCAGAGTTCTGGATACGAAGGGCGACAGCTCCTAGAACACTGTGGGACGCAAAACTAACTCGGCCGTATAGGAGCGGCACGGAAGAACAAAAACTGCGGATTAATTCGGCCTTATAGAAGCGGCACGGGCGAGTGCCTGTACATATATATATATATATATATATATATATATATATATATATATATACACACATATATATTTAACAAAAACTGCGAATTAATTCGACCTTATAGAGAGAGAGAGAGTCGAGTACATGTATATGTATATACGTGTCTATATATATATAGATATCCCAGGTCGACGACCTCACAAGGGACACGTGAACGAAAATCGGGAATTGATTCGTCGTTCAACAAGGGCACTGACGAGTGTATGCTGCTATATATACATATATAGAAACAATATCCTGGCAGCTTTGTAGCTTGCAGGTTCAGCCTCGGCGAAAGGAAATCGAGCTATGAAGCGCGGATAGGCTATGGTGGACAGAGGTGGAGGGTGAAGAAAAGATCATATTAGAACGTGGGCCGTGGCGATAACGCGACTTGACCTGTGGAGCTGCGAAACAACAAAATCGGGAACTGATTCGGGCTTCAACATGCGACGCAGACATAGCATCTGGGAATCTGTTCGGACATCGGATACAGTTGGGATAGTTGAAATAGCATTTTACCTTCGTAAAACGTTCTGTGAACGACGAGCGTCAGACGGATATGGACTTACGACGAGCGAACCCACTATGGCCGAGGGAAATCGAGTTACGAAAAGCGAACCGGCTATGGCGAATAGAAGTCGCGCTACGAAGACCGAACCGGCTATGGCGGAAGGACGTGGTGGGTGAAGACAAGATATCAACACGCGCGTGGTAGTGATACCGCGACTTTCCCTGTGGAGTTGGCAGGCAACAAAAAGGATACAACGAGGGCGGCAACGCCTTTTATACTTTTCTGCCTAGAGGAACTCTCCAGCAGCAGGCCTTGCGTGGGGACCAAGCAGGGTGCGGAGACGGCGTTTCGATTCGGCGGTTGTTCGCATATCACATGCCTGGGCCAATAGGATGTCAAGGCCTATAAGACACCAGGGCCTATAAAACGGTAAGGACAGGTTGGGACTCGAAAGGTCAGAGGTACTGTAAATTGCTGCTTGTCGATCTACGAAATTCAACGGCGCAGATCAAAGAAGCCACTTGCATGTCAGAGGCCCCAAATTCTCCGCCAACTCTGGCGTGCATTGATATGAACTTTCGAGAAAGTAAGGGACAGTCTAGGTGATTTTCGTTGTTGTAGTCTCGGTCGTCGATTGTCACGATCCGGCGTACAAAGTGGAGCTTCGTTACCCCCCCCGAGGTCAGGCGCAGTAATCGCACCGCAACCGTTCATTGCGCGCCGATGCGCGACGGTCCGTTGCGCGCCGAGGCACAATTCCGAACGGTCCTGAAATCCCAGCGCGGCGGTTCGTTGCGCGCCAAGGTCAGCACTGGAAACGAACAAAATATGGTCTGGCAGACATTGCGACATTTTGCAAATATCAACGCCGTTGGATAGCGAATGTCCGCAATCGCTCTATTTTGAACCAACGTTGCGCTTGCGAACGGAATCGCATCCATTCTTATGCTCGCCATCGCCACAGTCGTCGATGCACTTAACTCATCACCATCGTTGCGCACAGCTATTTCCTCCATCGCAGTGCTGGCAATCGCTATCGCTATCGCCACCATCGCAGCGCTCTCCATCGCTATCGGTACCATCGCAGCGCTGACCATCGTTATCCATTCCGTTGCCGCGGCATCTCTCTCCATCGCTATCCCTGCCATCGCAGAGTTGGGCCATATCCTGCGCCATCTCTCTCCATCGCTGCGCCATCTTTCTCCAGCACGGACTTTCTCCATCTCTGCGCCATCTCTTTCCGTCACTCCTGAGCGATCTCTCTCGATCACTGCGTCATCTCTCTCCATCGCTCTTGCCTGATCTCTCTCCATTGCTGCGCCATCTTTTCCATCAAGGACTCTCTTCATCTCTGTGCGATCTCTCTCCGTCACTCTTGCACGATCTCTCTTCATCGCTGCGCCATCTGTCTCCGTTGCTCTTGCGTGATCTCGCTAGACCCTCTGTGTGTTCCCTATCCATCTCCGCCCATCTTTCTCCATCGCGGACTCTCTCCATCGTTGCGACATCTCTCTCCATAGCTCCTGCTCGATCTCGTCTCCATCGCTGCGGGATTTATCATCGCAGCGAATTCCCTCTCCATCGCCATTGTATTATCGTTGTAGTCCGTCGTCGGTGCAATTGCCCATCATTGTGGAATCGCATGAAACAAGTCAGGTATGCGTAATGAAGGATTAACACGACGGATATAACTTTGATTAAGCTAATTTTGAACTGATGTCGGATGCATTATATCTAAGACATTAATTAGCCTTTAAATGATGTTGTCTAGGTCAGTAGTGAGATATGCGGCACTCCTGCGCCATCTATCTTCATCGTTGCGCCATCGCTAACCATCGTTGCGCCAGATTTTCCCGTCGGCTCGCCATCGATGACCATCGTTCACCATCGCTAACCATCGCTGCACCAGATCTCTGCATCTGTGCGCCATCGCTAACCATCGTTGCGCCTGCTCTCTCGATTGGCGCGCCATCTTTCTCCATCGGTGCGCCATCTCTCTCCATCGGTGCACGATCTCTCTCCATCGTTTCACGATCTCTCTCCATCGCCATGCCATCTTTGTGCATCTATCCCCATTGTTGCGCCACCTTTCTCCATTTGTCTCCATCTATCTCCATCTGTCTTTATCTCTGCGCCATCGCCGACCAATCGAACTATTGTATTGTCGTTGTAGTCCGTCATCGATGTAGCCGCCCATCACAGTCAAATCGCACGAAACAAGCTCAATATATTTAACACTATGTATTAAGCCAATTTTGAACTAATCCCTGATGCATTATATCTAAATAAACATAACTTAGACGATTCCGGAACGACACACTAACATTGCAGCCGAATATGCATGGAGTTGCCTATAAACTACATAATTGTCAGACATGCTTACAGTTGTGAGATGGGTGGATTGAAGTCGTCTACGTACACGAATGCTTGACAGATATGCCTGCGGTTTCGAAATCCAAATGAGTGTGGTGAACATGTCCGAGTAAACTCGCGCTTCGTCTCGACCAAAACAAAAGAAAGTCATTTTCTATGTGCGAATTTACTCATTCTTGAACCAACTAGGAAACTCGCACTTGCACTCTCAGTCTCGAAACCGATATGCTCATATCAAGTGTGAATTTATCCGGTCTTCAACCAACCAGGCCCCTGAATTTCGTACTATACAGTGAAAATGCTCATTTCAAGTGCGAATTTATTCGCTCTTGAACTAACCACCAACGTAATTTCTTACTGTATGGCAAATAAATATGAATCTACTCGCACTTGCATTCAATGTCCGAGTCTATTTGTCGTTGAACGAACCAGGAATCTATTTCCAATTGTACACGACATGAGTCCGAGTCAACTCGCACTTGTGATTTCCCCTAAATGCGACGCACTTTTGTATGTGCGAATTTGCTCGATTTTGAACCAACCAGGAATCTTATTTCTTACTGTATAGTGAATGTACGGATCAACTCGCACTTGTACTCTCGCCGAAACGATCTCCATGCTACGCATTCAATGTGCGAGTCTAATTGGTGTTGAACCAACCACGAATCTATTTCCAGTTGTATCGTGCATAAGTCCGAGTCAACTGACACTTGTGGTCTGGCCTAAATGCGACAAACCATCCGTACTCTATGTGCGAGTCTATTCGGTCTTAAATTTTAGTGTATGGCGAATCGGTGTCTTGAATGACGCGCACTTGTACTCTCTCCTGAATGCAAATACGCCCCTTATTCTATGTGCTAGTCGATTCATTGGTGAACCTACCACGAACCTGTTTCGTATTGCATGGTCAATAAGTTCGAGTCAACTCGCACTTGTATTCTTGCATAAACAGGACCTCCTCCGCCAGGAGTGACAATCAACTTGCACCGAAGAGAAAGTGCGAGTTCACTCGGACTAATCCAAACCGCTTGCACGTTAAACTAACAATACGGAACATCAGTCCTTCAACTCGCACACGAAAACGAGTGGGAGAGGAGTCGGACTTGTGAGCCCACATGACCTTTAAATCAGGGTCAGGAAGTGTCACAACGTCCCTGGTTAATTAAAGAGCGAATAAACTCGCACAACATGTTATTCGTTAAAATAGGACATTATATTATGTCCTATTTCCAACGAATTCATTTTCGACCGCACCCTGTGCGACGTAGGCTTGCCCATCCAAGGCTTGACCACATGCGGAAGTGCGTTGAGATTCATACTTGAAGTGTGGACGTGGGGCAGCGATAGGCACACCCATTCTGGAAGCCTGTTCTGGAAGTGTGTTGGGATCCATACTTGTTCAAAAAGGTGTTTATGAATGTGATGAACAATGTGTCATAATTGAATCCTTGTTGGATAATACATCTGTTCGGTTCATCCGTAAGTTGTGCAGGCATGACAATCATCTTCCTCGAGACGGTTGCTCGGATGTTGTTGACGTCCGGACTTCTTCAGAATCATCCGTAAGTTGTGCAAGCATGGCAATCATTTTGCTCGAGATGGTTGCTTGGATGTTGTTGAGGTCCGGACTTCTTCAGAATACTTAGTTCAAGGATAGACACGCCCACCATCTCGCCCAATATGTGGAAGTGTGCTGAGATCCATACTTGTTTACAATTGCGATGAGCAAGGTGTCATGGTTGATACAGTATCCTTATTTGACATGTTCGTTTAGGGGCCAATTTGTCATTGGAAACATCGATGAAATTTTTTTGTACAACACCTGTCACAATACAAAAGAACTTCAAATGTTGCTTATTATGTGATCAAATCCGCACTTTCAGTGACGATTAATAAAAGGTTTGTGCACGAACGCAAATTTGCAGGTAAAAAATATGTGATTTTATGTGCACACAAGAGACGTCATGGCATTGGTCTTTGACTCTTCGCGTAATGAACCTCAGAGTCTCATTCACACAGTCGTCCATCCCCAGAACAATTTGTCATGTTGCACAACACACACCAATATCATTTGAGGCAGAATTCGGAGCAAGGAATGCAATGCGACGCATTCAATAGCACGAGAGAGGAGTGAGACCTGACTCAGGTTCCAAACTCAATACGTGACGTGAGGGCGACAGTGAACATTCGAAAGACAACTCATACTCGCAATAACAAAAGAAAGCAATGTCGTTGTGAAAACGACAATCAAACAATGTCATGATTAACGAAATACAATCAGTAAGTAATGAAATATTTACAAACCAAAACTTGCAAATGAATCAACTCCGTCAAAGACGACGGCGTTCCAAGACACATGATGCCAATTGTCGTCTAATTTTTGGAATATGTTTAGAAGAAAACCTGAAAGGTGGTCGATCACCACGTTGTAACAATGTCGCAAACATCAACATAAACACCCCGCAACTAGCTCCGTCCACTTGCCTTGGAACTCCTTCCACCACAACCTTTGTTGCTACCGACCTCCAACCGGTACATGATCGACTGTGTGGAGTGCGAAACTCTGCTTGTGGAGTGCGACACTCTGCTCGAAACAGATCCAGATCCAACAAGAAGGCCCACCAAACTAGCCCCAGTTGCATTTCAGCATCTCGAACGACTGCTCGAACAACTGTTGACCTACGGGATCTAGAGGGGAATTCTGTTTATGGAGTGCGAAACTCTGCTCGAAACAGATCCAGATCCAACAAGAAGGCCCACCAAACTCGCCCTAGTTGCGTTTCAGCATCGCGAACGACTGCCCGAACAACTGTTAACCTGCGGGAGCTGGAGGCGAATTCTATTTGTGGAGTGCGAAACTCTGCTCAAAACAGATCCAGATCCAACAAGAAGGCCCACCGAACTCGCCCCAGTTGAGTTTCAGCATCGCGAACGAGTGCCCGAACAACTGTTGACCTGTGGGAACTGGAGGGGAATTCTGTTTGTGGAATGCGGAACTCTGCTCGAAACAGATCCAGATCCAACAAGATGGCCCTAAGAGTGCTTTTGGCAATGCTTAAAGATAATGACCGACTGTTTGGCACAACTGGAAGGTACAGCCCGGAACGCGAAGTTCGTCGGGATCCGAACTTGAGGGTGGTGCGTTAGAGAGAGACGGGGAAAGAGAGGCACGAAACGAAATCGTGTGGTTTTTAAATCCACAGATGACCCAGGAAAACCCCACTCATATGATAGGTCACTTCGAACACGGTGTTTTCAGGTTGGACGCACATTGCGGATCAGACGATGGTGTTTTCAGTGCGAAAATAAAATTATGTCTCTCGTTGCACACTACGACTACACTCGGAAGTTTTAACGTCGGACGCACAGAGATGCAGCATGTATCCATGCGAACGTTTTAGGTCGGATGCACATTGCGGGACAAACAACGATGTTTTCACTAAGAAAAAAAAAAAAAAGGTTCTGTCATGCGACACACACTACGAACACACTCGGAAAAACGTTTACTCGCAAGGACAGCCTCCCAAAGCAATCTGAACTACTTCATATCTGCCATATCCTGCCACGCACATGCCTCCCACAACTCATGCTCCTTTTCCTTCAAACACGAGGTCCGACAACCCCTCCTGATGTAGCGACGTGCGGGGCCTCCCGTGGACGAGGTCGTGAACCGAAGCCGTACATGGCATTCATTGATGATCCATACACGTGGATCTGCGGCCCCTTGGCTGTTGCATTCTCCGAAAACACGCACAACTGCATCGACGTGGTACCGCAACGGCGAGAACGTGTACACCGGCCTTCCACCTTCTGCCACGATCGACACCTCGTTTCGTGACACACGCACAACTGCATCGACGAGTTTCCTGTTTTTGTTCGTCGTGGCGACACATAGCACTCTGGCGAAAGCACATCCGGTAATGGATAAACGCATGCTGCAGTACGACACGGTTTGAGGACGAATCCCGAGGCGGCGGAGTGGGTACTGCTCCAAGAACGAACAATGACGATCCCAGTCCAGCAACTCTTGTTTCCCAGAATTTCCCCAAGTGCGTGGCGAAGAAGTGATGTACTCGCAGTCGAGACGACTGCAATGGCGGCTGATGCAGCGCACTGTTTTGCGCACATGGTTCAGGAATTTGCGCTCGACAACACCGTCTGGCAGTGCGATGAGGTCACCGAATTCTAACATACTGGCGAACTTGTAATGGCTTGCCGAAGAGCAGCCACTCTCCATCGCTTTCCAAGTGGCATCGCTCCAATTGTCAAGATGTCGGTCCATGTACGGGACGACGGTCATCCACGGGTCCTCATCGAAGTCCTCCGCAACTGCTCCATCGATGCAACGGTCCTCAACGAAGTCCTCCGCAGCTGCTCCGTCGATGAAAGTTTGACCGTCAAGACGCCGCATTGATCTCGCATAAGGAGGGAACGGTGCTGCTAAACGCATGTAGGTCTCGGGACTCATGGGTGTGTTTGTTGACGGCAAGCGACGACATTATGCACCCTACACACCACGCACACACACGAAATGACAGGCACTCGTAAACAAACTCGGCAAGTGGTCCAACGGGAAGGCCCGTCTTGGGTGAACTGTGCATAACTCCTAAACACCCAGGAAATGACGACAAAAAAATGCGCAGTCCTTGCAAAGTACTTGAACGGGGGCAGTGAAAAAAAAAATGTTGGACGTTCGACCGCAATTCGGGTCCGCCCGCGGGCCACGAAGAAGCCCGCTGTCAGACCGACGGGCATGTTGAAACGCGAAATTCGGATTTTCGCTCCACGGGAGAATGCCAATCACGGATCTGGGCGATCTTGTGCTGTTGTTGCACTCCAGAGGGCGACAAAAATCCACAGTCGGAACTCAGAAAACGCCTGATTGTGTAGTTCGCCAGCATCCGAACTTAAGTAATCCGCCAGGACTTGTTCTTGCATGGTTTGTGAAACCGAGGAGGCATCTGGTCTGCCCTGAAAGCGGAGTTCGCCATCAACCCCAATTTGCGTGTCTTCCGGCAACGCCACATGCGAAGTTTGGTCTCGAAAGTGACAATCGTTCGAACAGCTGATTCGAACAACGTGAACTGCACAGACCCCGTTGTTGTTCAAATGCATAGTGCAACGACCAAGCCCCAGACATGTCCTGCGGAATGTGGGAACCCGAAGTTCGTCGGGATCCGTACTTCCCAAGAGTGCGTTGGAGAGATAGACGACTCTGCGCCGAACTCGCAGGCCCACACTTTGCCGAATTTCAGATTTCGGCGGACTAAGTCTTTTCAAATATCATATGGTGTTCCTGTGGTTTGTGGCTGCCCCGCGTATGCGCCGCACAACAACAGAAGTTCGCCGGAATCCGAACTTCTTCAACTGTGGAGAGTTGGGATTTCGACGGACTAAGCCTTTTCAAATGTCCTGTAGTGTTCCTGAGGTTTGGGATTGCCCGGCGTTTTCGCACAACAGCAGAAGTACGCCGGGATCCGAACTTCTTCCACTGTGGGAATCTGGAGTTCGCAGGGATCCGGACATCCCGAAAGTGCGTGACAGACAGAGACAACTTTCTGCCGACTGTCGGCCGAACCCGCAGACCCACAATCTCTTGAAGTTCGGACTCCGGCGGACTGCGCTTTTTCAATATCCTCTTGTGTGACTGCGGTGTGGGGTTGCCCGACGTTTTCGCACAACAACAGAAGTTCGCCGGACTTCTTCCGCTGTGGGTATCTGAAGTTCGGATTCCGACGAACTTCTGTTATTGTGCGAATACGCGGGGCAACCCTAATGTGCAGGCACAGTAGAGGATATATGAATTGGCAAAGTCCGCCGGAATCTGAACTCAAGAGACTGCGGGCCTGCGGGTTCGGCAGGGGAGCTCGGATCCCTGCCGAACCTGCAGGCCCGCAGTCTCTTGAGTTCAGATTCCGACGGACTTTGCCAATTCATATATCCTCTAGTCTGCCTGTAGTTTGGGGTAGCCCCGCGTACTCGCACAACAACGGAAGTTCGCCGGAATCCAAACTTCTTCCGTTGTCCGATCGTGCGATATGACAAGTTCGGAAGGTCGTACATCCAACGGGAGCACCAGGACCGCAGCCATGTGAATGGATATGTGTAAATACGAAGTTCGCCGGGATCCCAACTTCGACAGAATGCGAGACCGGGGGATTGGCTGAGAGTTCGAGAGAGAGGCGAACGAAGAGATGGAGAGAGATTGAGCGACATCGACAGAGACAGACGGGAACGAAAAGAAGTGGGCGGTCTGATGTTGGCGCGAGGGAATGGATTCTCGGTAGAGTTAGCTCTCCAGGTTCGTTGAAACCCGAGGTTCGATGCTGCCCGATGGCCAGCAGACCAGGCGGTAGAAGTTCACCAGCATCCGTGTTTTTCTCTGTGTCTCTCTCCCGGACACACCGACGATCCCGGTGCATCTTGAGAGCTTTGGGGACATGTCATGGACGTCGCTTTGTGAAGATCAGTGTTTTCATCTGTGTCTCACTATCCGGCGCCCTCATGTCTCTCTCCGACACCCCTGCGATCCCGGTGACGAGGTTTGCGACGATCCGGGTGTGTGGATAGACGGGACAGTGCGCCAAATCAGCCGCGCATGTCGTCCTCTGCTTGTTTGATTATGATCAGTCGCAAAACACCGTTCAATCGACCCTGCGTACAATCAAGCACATAAAAAACGAGATGCTCGTGCCGATCAATACTGGCGACAGGCATCACATTCACGACCGATCAGAAGCAATCGTTCCTTTACCAAACGATGCGGATCCGGATCGTTTGGTAAAGGAACGATTGAATCAGATCGGTCGTGAATGTGACGCCTGTCGCCAGGATTGGTCGGCACGAGCATCTCGTTTTTTATTCGCTTGATTCTGATTGTTCTACTTGCCATGCCACAGGGTTGTTTGCGACTGATCATAATCAAACAAACAGAGGACAACATGCTCGTCTCGACCACACCTTGTGTTGGGCATGACATGCGCGGCTGATTTGGCGCACAATCCCGTCTACCCACACACCCGGATCGTCGCAGTCTCTTGGTCACCGGGATCGTGGGGGTGTTGGAGAGAGACATAAATTGTTAATCGCGGATTCGCTTCCGCCAATTATGTGCAGGAAGTCTTTTTGTGAACCGTGTCCACCACTCGGAGATTCACTTGCACAACTTGCTTTCGACATCGCAAATGCGCTTTCCATGGAGGGGTGGCTCTGTTGATCTGCACACGCGCTTTCCATGGAAGGGTGGCACGTCCAATCAACTGATTCAAAACTTTCTCCGCGCACAAACATTGACACATCTTCGTGCGATAGTGCACGTAAAAGCAATGCAAACATAAATGGCGCGCACAGCAGGGCAGTACACGATCAAGTAAAGGAGATAGAGAAACACACGATGCAAACAAAATGTGTGCGAACAACGCTAGTCGCCCCGGACATACATGACGCGCCCAGCACGGTCACAGGCACTCACGTGCACAGTCACACGCACGCACATACATGGGATCACCCTCGCACATAGCATTACTCTGGCACATCCGCGTTGAAAACGAAGGTCACATTCAATCAGTCACCCTTTTGACAGGTACTCACCCGATGAAGATGTTGTGTGGCCAATGGATCCTTCACACCTAACCTAAAGCCGCAAAGATCGCAGTGTGAACGTGGGGACGTGCGTGGTGTGGCGGCGGATGGTTTGCGCCGAACGAGCGGCGGCAAGTTAGTGATTGGTATGTAACAGGATTGCGTCATGAGTTGCTTGGTGTGGCGGCAAGTCACTGATCAACACGAAAGACAACGCAGGGCGGGGAGTGCTTTGCGATGCAATTCCACGCGGTGTTCCCAACTCCGTTCAAACAACAGAAGATGCGGCGCAGCGCTGAGGATTGCGATGGCTACGCTCGTCGTGCGTGGTGCATGCGCTCGCCAACCCTGATCGGATTCAGCGCACGTTGGACGACGTGGCGCGGCGCTGCAGATTGAGTTGACGTCAAACGGGAGCTCGCACAGTTGCTCCGACAGCATCTCCCCACAAAATATGATGATGCGAAATGAACATTTCGGGGGCTGGTGTCGTTTTATGGGCTCGCACGCCTTCAACGACCGAAGGGCTTTCCACGCTGAACGGAAGGCCTTTTTCGAAATCCGAATTGCGAGCCCGGGCAGGGGGCGGGAAATTAAGAGGCATTGGGCCGAAGGGAAAAAGCTCCAAAATGCGCGAGCCGTTCAATGCGCCCGATCGACGGCCACGGTCCATCGACGCAAAGGGCCTGCGCACGACACGACACGTTTGAAGGCCGTTGCTGACAATCGCTCACGGGCCTTTGCGGAGGCAGTCGGGCGGCTGGGGGGTGGGGCTAGGTTGGATGGGGGCTTTGCACCGACAGGCAGGAGGGCCGTTCAGACAAATGCCGAGGGCAGGAGGACCGTTCTCGCAGACGCGAAAAAAAGAAATGAACGTCTATCCCTGGCTTGGCCCTCCGATTTGAACATCGCATGGCCTTATCTCGCCCCCGGAAAAGGGCCTGCTGGGCGAACGTGGGACCCGTCGTCGGGGTGGGAGGCTACCGCGAGGAATGAACGTCACACTGGACAACCACGCGCAGGATTCCACGCAAGCGGCCCTCCCAGTCCAACCTCTTCTTCCATAGAATCCATCCTCTTCGACGCCAGGTGCGCTGCGCTGCACCATCGTCGTCGTCGTTCCAGAGCTGCGCCATCGCCGTCTTCCGACCCTTGACGAGCCATCGTCTTCGTTCGCCCTGGGCTGCGTTGCGCCGTCGTCGTCTTTCTCCATCGACCCCCCAGGTGCGCTCTCGACAGGAGACCGTCCCGCTTCGCGCGCCATCGTCCCGCGGTCGCGCGCGTCATCATGGGGCTTTTCGTGCGTATTTGCATTATTGAAATGCTTTGATGCTGGGGGTCATCGCTTGCTTGGTCGTCGTGTTTCACTGCCCATCCACTCGCGGTCTACCTCCTTCTTCGTGGTGTGGAGAGCTGGTCGCGCACACGACTGGGGTGACGTGGAGGCGTGCGACGTCGAGTGAGACAGATTGTCTGCCACAGAAAGGCAAAGAAGTCCACTGCTTCGTGCCACGGGCCATCGGTCTGAGACAACGCACACTTCTTCCACGAGGAGGAAGTCGTTGTCGACCACTCCCGTGCTGTCGATGGGAGGCCAGTGCTGCATGTTGTCAAGCAGTCCCATGGCGGCATGATCGGGCGAGCACGAGCGCAGAACTTGCCAACGCGTTGATGCCACCGTGGGATTGGCCGCCGGCAGGCAACTCAGGCTTCTCGTCCTGTGCTGCTATGTTGCGATGTCGATGCAGAACGAGGTTGTCGTCGGCTGCATGTCACCAGCACGCGGAAATCGGTGGGGTGGTTGCACAATGTGGTCGATGAGGTTCTCGCCATCGTATGCCACGTGGGCCACAGGGCGCTGTTCGAGGTTGGACAAGAACATCGTGCCGCGTCACCGACATTTGCCCAGCGTCGAACAGCGCCCTGCGGCCCGCGTGGCAGACAAGGGCAACCTCGTTGTGCATCGACATCGCAGCACGACGACGAACGCGGTAATCGTTGCTCAAGAACAGTTGTGATCGGGTGATCATGACTGTTCGGCCATGAACATGCGTGTTCGTTGATTGAGAGCAGACGGTTGGTAGCGGTGGTTGCGCTCCCCTGTGTGTGCATCAAGTTCATGGTTTCGAGCACCACCCGTTCACGCGCATTTGCGAGAGCGCGCATCTCCGTGGTCGAACGGTCGTGATCACGTAATCACGATTGCTCTTGAGCGACGATCGGTGCGTTCATTGTCGT